GTTGCTGAGGGCCTCACTAAGTTGCTGGGGCTGGCCTGTAATTTGCAATCCTGCTGCCTCAGCCTCCAGAGTCACTGGGATTACAGGCATGTGCCACTGTGCCCAGCATGATGTGATTTTGGATTGGCTCCTGGAAGGGGCGTGGACCGACTCCCTCCATTTCTCGCCAGCCCTTTCTCCCTCAGTCTCTCCAGGAGACATAAGTGTCCACAGCGCCACCTACTGACACTCTTTAATTGCCCGCTGGGACTGGGAAAGCATTATTGCAGTCTCACAGGTGTGGTCCCTCTCACCAAGACCCTTTCTAGGCACACACTGACTCAYGTGAGTCACACACAGTCATGAACATGTTTAGCTGTCACACAGCTGGGTGTCACACTTCGGGAGGACGCAGTAGGGACACACGAACAGATTTGCAACACTCGGGTGGCAGGTCCAGATACCTGCACAGGTGTGCAGTGGCAACAGATGTGGAGTCACACGGACAAGTAATGACACTGCTGGGCACACAAGTCCTGGAAATYGTGTGTGACAGTGTGTAGGGCATTGCTGACCAGGGAACTCGACTGAGCCCCAGGGTCCGAGTTTAGCTGGGTCACACACAGACATGGTGGATCACCTTCATGGATGACCTTCAGTGTCCAGTCCTCCAGAAGTCTGGCTGATGTGAAGCCCCAAAGCCCTCACTGTGAATTACACTGTCAGACTGTTGGGGGGGTCCAGGCCCCGGGACAAACAAAGTCACTCTAATCAGGCAGGAGAATCCCCAGGCGTGGACATGGCCTCCCAGGAGCCGAGGGCCAAGGCCTGACCCTTTGGACAAGGTCCAGCCTCTGCTGCACACTCTCCTTCACAAGGTCACGGCAAGACTCCAATGTGTATGTGAGGTGCTCATGGGGCTATGGGAGCCACCACTGCATGGGGACAAGAGGCCACACTGCTGCTTGTGGTGCTCCACTGAGACTCAGGGTCAAATGGGCAAGAAAATGGGTTTTATGAAAGTCAGATTTGAAGGATGAGAGAAGAAACTTTTTTTTTTCCTTAAAATTTCCATCTTCAGAAAACTCATGAGCCAGGAAAGCTTTTTACAGGTAGGACTGGATGTGGTGGCGCCTGCCTGTGATCCCAGGGGCTCTGGAGGCTGAGGCCGGAGGATTGCAAGTTAGAGGGCAGCCTTAGCAACTCAGTGAAATCCTGTTTCAAAATAAAAATAAAAAGGGCTGGGGATGTGGCTCAGGCAGGGATGCTTCTGATGGGATGCTGATGGGATCCATCCCTAATTCTTACAAATGAACGATTGAATGAATGGGACAGCAGAGTGGGACAAAAGGCAGGTGGATATGCAGATTTATTAGCCAGACAACCTGCCAGTCTCAGCTTTTTATTTCTGTCCTTCATTTCTGCCTTGTGACCAGCACGYGCCTGGGTCTGTGCTGGCTGAGCACCTAGCCTGGGCCAGGCCAAACGTCAGCACTTGYAAACACTCATCTCCTCCTCACAGCACCCTTCTAGGTGGATACTACTGGCATCATTGGACAGCAGAAGGGACTTAGAAAGGGGTGCCCACTAGGTCAAGGTCACTCTGGATCCAGCGGTCTTCAGAGACTAYGATCAGTTGCCATCTGCACAGAAACTAATCATGACTTGATCTCTSTGCCCTGAAGAAGGTGGTGGTGACTTCATTAACTCCCTACCTGACTCTGCCCCTGGGGCTCTCTCAGACTGCCCCCTGCCAAGTCCCATCAGCCCCTCGGCCTGCTCCCTCTCCTCCTGCCCACTGCGCCAGGCTGGGGCCCTTCTGGACCCCCCTTGCAGGTGCAGCCTCAGTGCCCAATGCTTGCCAAATACTCGGAAGGGTCTGAGATTTTACTAACTTGCAAAGAAAAAGTCTGCGGCGGTGTCCAGATGCTGGAACACAGGACTCTCTTGGGTCCAAGCTTCATTTCTCACGGCAGGCAGAGCAGCGCGAGCTTCAGGTTTTGTTCAGACTCTGACCACAAATCCCACAGAGTCAGAGACCAGAGCAGCGCAGGCAGCTTGGGTGCAGCCGCAGTTTGCGCCACCAGCAAGGAACCCGAGCCCGGAATCCTTAAACCGGCCCAGCCTGTGTCCCTGATGGAGCTCTGTCTTCATTATCCGGGGCTGCAAACAGAGCTGCCCTAGAGAGACATTTATTTATTCCCCGCAACAGTCAACAAGGCTGCTGTAAGAGAGATGTTATCTTTATTACCCAGGACGTAAGAAACCAGATCGGAGGCAGACAGAATCTGGCAAGGCTTCCCGCTCWGGGCAAACATCCTTGAAAAGGCGGCCCAGGGGCGGGGCACAGAAGACCTCAGAAACCCGACCGGGCTGCCTGGCGCCGGCACCTGCTCAGCAGTCCCGGTCAAACACTGTCTACCACATCCCGCCGAACCAGGGTTCCCGGTCCACCTCCCGACCTTGGGTGGGCAGCCCATTGGGGAACCTATAATAAGGGCGGGGCTCAGAAGCCGGGGGATCTGGGTTTGGGAGGGGCTYTGGGTGGGAACGCTGAGGGGGTCCACTTCTGGAGAGGGCGGGGCTGGAGCCCTGGTGGGCTGAGTTCCAGATGTGTGGGGCTTGCTGCTCCTGATGTGAGAGAGAGGCAGGGCTGGGACCTTGGCCCAGGGTCTGGGGAGAGAGTGATGGGACCACCCTGGCGCCTCAGATCTCCCAAGGCACGGAGGACCAAGGCGGCCCATTCTCAGGAGCTCCTCACTGGCGGGCAGCACCTGGGCGTGCAATCTGCGCACGCGCGCTGCCCTCTGCCAAAGGGTTTTGGGCCGAGGGAGGAGGGGCCTGCACTKAAGGGTTTCTTCCAGTTCCACCGYCTTCCCCGGGTCTTCCACGTCTCTTGCACTGTGCCCAAATCAGAATTAGCTCAGCCAAATCTTTTGAACAAAGACCAGTCAGGGCCAGGTGTGGTGGTGCACTCCTGTAATTCCAGCGACTCAGGWGGCTGAGGCAGGAGGATCTCAAATTCAAGACCAGTCTCAGCAACCTAGTGAGGCCCTAAGCAACCTAGCGAGATCCTGTCTCAAAAAATTAAAAAACAAAACAAAACAAAACAAAAAACACCAAATTCCGGGGATGTGGCTCAATGGTTAAGTGCACCTGGATTCAATCCTTGGTACCAAGGRGGTGGGGGGAAAGACTAGCTAAGCTGTCTGTGGACTCCCAGGTGCACACACAGGCCTGGAGGGCAGAGGCAGGAGCTCCTATGCTGTCCCGCTGAGCCAGAGGTGTGGGAGGGGTGTGGGCAGGTTTTGGAGTCAGTATTCAGCCATGCTTGGTTTTCTTTGGCCACATGATGTGCTGGGGACAGATYTGAGGMTGGAGCTTGAAGATCAGTGAGAGTGGAGGGAAGGGTTGGAGTTGGCTGTGCTTTTGTGGAGTTGGGGACTGGGGATGTCTGGTTGGCTGGGGACGGCCTGGGTGGAAATGGGATTATTCTGAGGTTGTATGGGAACTGTGTGGGGACTGGCTCAGGGTGGAGAGTGGCAGCCACAGACATTGGCTTGTGTGGGATGTGAGGATGGACATGAGTTTGGAATCCTTTCAAATGCGGGGAGCCGTAGCAGTTGGGTTGAGTTAGGCAAGGTTGGGTTGGTGTKTGTGATGCGAGTGGATTGGGTTGTGTTAAACGGCCCGGGTTAAGTTTGGTTGAGGTTTGGATGGGGATTTGGAGATGCYTGGGAACAGTAGATCCAGGAGGACCTAACTCAAGCAGAGGGGGACTTCCTCTCCCAGGATGATTCCGGGGCACCCTGATCTATGTGTGTGGGGGTGAGGCCCTGGTTGAGCACATCCCTCTATCCCTGCCTTTAGATCTTTAATTGTGATTATCTGAGTCCCTCTCCTGTCACCCTCACAGCACTTGGAATTTACTTGTCCCTCACTTAGGAAAGAGGGAAGATTTTATCAAGTTTTTATCAAGTTCTGAGAGGCAGCCAGGGCTGGATCCCTGTGAACTGTTTGGTTTTACAGAGYAGCTGCACTAGCCCAGCCGGAGGGACTTTAGGAAGTCTTACCAGGTGTCAGTGGAGGTGGCAGGGCTCTCATTTGATTCTCTTCTGTGGTCCTCAAATGCGATTTTTAAATGTCACTTAATCTTGAGGTGCATAAGCCTGGTTCCTGAGACTGAAATATGCTATTGAGGAGAGGACAGTGGCTTTTGCATGGGGGTGCTCCTGACCTGGGTGGGCATGATAGGAATCCCTGACATACAGATTGAGTGCCCGGGGCTGGAGAATGAGGATGGAGATGGGCGTGTGTGTGTGTGTGTGTGTGTGTGTGTGTGTGTGTGTATAGAGAGAGAGAGAGAGAGGGAGAGTAACGGTCATGGGAAACCCTTAAACCATTTGGAAAACCCTGGATTTTGAAGTGCTCAGGACCTCAGTCCAGGAGACTCATATTTTCGGAGTGGCAGGTGGATCTATAGAACCACAAGGTTTATTATAAGAGCAGCAGTAGATTTAGGGGCCCAGATTCTGGGTGTGGAAGTGTAATGATCCGAGTTCTGCATCCAAGGCTTCYATTTCAGGGACATAAGAACTTGGAGGTCGGCGTCTTGGCCAGGGTGGCATAGGGATCAGGGAGACTCGCTACCCATGGTGATGGCACTTCAGGGGACACTGGGTCTTGGGCTGCAAAGGCCTGACTTGTGGTTTGGGCACATGGGGCTTTGCATTGAGGGTCAGTCCTATCCCCGTTTCTTTTCACCCTGGGYCTCTCCTTTCTTCCCCTTTTAGATCAAGTCTCTCTGGGCTGCAGGCCCTGCCCACCTGGCTTCAGGACCTGGGAATGCGTCCAGAACAACCAGCRCTGGGTGCTCCTCCCCTGCAGGGCTCCTGGTGTGGAAGGACGTGTCCAGCTCCCAGCAGCAGAGTGGGGGTGTGGGGGACCGGAGACTTCATAAGCCTGCTCAGGGAGTTCCTCAGTCCCGAGCTTGCCACCTGCCCCTGGATGCCTCTGTCACCATGTGGTTCCTGGTTCTGTTCCTCGTCCTGTCCCTGTGGGGRACTGGTGAGACAGTGGGGAATCCAGGAGGGGTAGGGGCCTTGACTCTCACCTCCCTTGAGTCCTTCCTCCCCCACCCAGCCCCCAGCCTGGCCCTCCAGGTTTGTCCCTATTTCTCACAATCCCACATTTAATCCTGCCTCTGAGCCCTCTGTGTGGCCAAATCTGTCACAGTCCTCATTCCCACACCAGGTCCCTGCTCCCTCCCAGGAATCCCTCTTCATGGGTTCTACTCCCTGCCGCCAGACACTTTTCTAAAGGGACAGATCCCCGACCATCCCTGTCTCTCTGTCTATTCCAAGGACCTCTCTAGATGACGCTGGAGATCCTGGTCTCCCTCCCAACCCCCTAAATGCTGCTGATTCCCCCCCCCAGCAGTGAGCCCTTCACCCCAGTCCCCTCATCCTGCTCCTAGGAAACTCAGATTCCATCAGGACTGCTGCTTATTCCCAGAGCCAGGCTTCCTGGCCTGAGGCAGCAGAGAATCTCCCAACCTGGCTGGAGTTCTGCGAATTTCCCCTCKTTCCCTGACTCTGCCCAGCCTCTCAGTGGTGGCTGGCCTTTGTCCAAGGTGGAGGGGTCGGCAGGCAGCACCACCAGCCACAGCTGCCAGTTACCCAGAGCACACTCCCGGGATCTGCATCTTTTCAAGKCTCCAACCATTCTCCCAGCCTGGGACCCTCAAGCCTCCCAATCGTCCTCTCCCACGGGGAGCTTCTCCTTGGWTTCTAGAAACCCCTGCCCTCCCAGGACCCACGCCACCATCTCCCAACCTCCCACCCCCATCACCCTCCTGTCCGGACCCCAGGCCCACTGCCTGCTCCAGATGCTGTGTTGGCCCTCCTGCCCCGAGCCCGGGGGTCTGTCCTGCTCCCTAGTCGGAATACCCTTCTACAAACCCAGGGAATGGTCTCCACTCCAGTCCCTTCTCAGCACCCCTTGCCCACGCCCCCGAGTGCCCAGGCCTGGTCCTCTGCCCCCTCAAGCCCACAGCACAGCCCCTTCTTCCCGCCCTAGCCCTGCCGGCTCCCCCTCTCTGCAGGTGCTGCGCCCCCCATCCAGTCTCGGATCATAGGGGGCTGGGAGTGCCAGAAGAATTCCCATCCCTGGCAGGCGGCCGTGTACCATCATGGTTTAGCAGTGTGTGGGGGCGTCCTGGTGCACCCCCAGTGGGTCCTCACTGCTGCCCACTGCTTCAGAAAGTGAGTAGGGGCCTGGGCATGTCGGTCGGTGGCAGAGCACCTCCCCTGGCATGCGCAAGACCCGGGTCCCATCCTCAGCAGCTTGTCCAAAAGAAGTGAGTGGGGCCTGGGAGTCTGGGAGGGGGCTTCTGTGCCCCACGGGGATCGACAGCTGGGCATTTCCCCCACTCGWGGCGTGGGACTGAGAGGGAGAGGACGGTGCTGATCCAGGTGGCCTGGGGAGGGGCGGAGCCAGGCTGGACCACCCTGTCCATGGCTGCCCACGGAATTGTCTCTGTGCCTCTCAGAATCTGGCTGCTCCGGGCGGGGCTGGGTTCTGGCCTCTGTCTGCCTTTCTTCTGTCTCTGAGTCTCTGCCACCATCTCAGGCGCTGCATGTCTCCCCCTCCGTGTCTCCACCCCTCTCTCTTTCTCTGGGTCTCTGGCTCACTCCTCTCCCCCATCACTACTGGCCCCATTCCCAGGGGGACCCCGAGAACAGGCAGGCATGCACCCCAACCTGTGTGCCTGGGAGGGGGCTTCCCGCTCTGCCCTGCCCCTCCCTGTGTGACCGCCAGTCCCCTCTGTTCCCTCTTCTCTCTTTTTACCCCTGTGCCCCTGTCCTTCTCTCTTTCTTTCTCTCCTTGGGGACCCTCTTGGGCTCCCTGCCCTTCCTCTCCTCATTCTCTCCCTCCCTCTATTTCCCTAGCAATATCCGGGTGGCTCTGGGTCGTCACAACCTGGGTGCCGAGGAGGACACCTCCCAGTTGGTCCCTGTCAGCTACGCCTTCCCCCACCCGCTCTACAACATGAACCGCCTGAAGAGCACCCACAATGACAGAAGCCACGACCTGATGCTGCTCCGCCTGTCGGCGCCCGTGCAGATCACCAAGGCTGTGAAAGTCCTGGAGCTGCCCACCCAGGAGCCAGAAGAGGGGAGCACCTGCCTTGCCTCGGGCTGGGGCAGCATAGAACCAGAAAAACGTGCGTCTGGCCAGACGGTGCAGCCTGGGGCTGGACACCTGTGGGAGGGAGAGGGTGAGGAGCCAGCTGGGATCCGGCCACAGCCCTTTCTCTCCTTGGCCTGCAGATGTGTTCCCAGATGATCTCCGGTGCGTGGACCTTGAAATCCTGTCTAATGAAGAGTGTGACAAAGCCCATTCCCAGAAGGTGACAGACACCATGCTGTGTGCTGGGCGCTGGCAGGGCGGCAAGGACACCTGTGGGGTAAGCTCTCCCCTCCCCCAATCTCCTATGGGAAAGGAACGGGAGGACCCCACTTCTAAGCTGTTGGTGATCTGCCAGCCCCGAGTGAGAGATGGGGCTTCCCAGGCAGAAACTGGGCTGACCTTTCTCTCTCTCTGTCCCTCCAACCCCTAGGGTGATTCGGGGGGCCCGCTCATCTGTAATGGCATGCTGCAAGGTCTCACGTCATGGGGCAGTGATCCCTGTGCCGTGCCCCAACAGCCTGCCCTGTACACCAAGCTGAAGGCTTACCGGAAGTGGATTGAGGACACCATGGTGGCCAACCCCTGAGTGCCCCCGCCCCATCCCTACCCTTAGTAAAATGGAGTACACACCGAGTTCTGGTATCTTCCCACCTTTCTAGACACAGGGCACCTGGATGCTCAGAACTCACCTGGCCMAAACTAGAGCCTCCCCATCACTGCTGACTTGGGTCCTAAGGTGTGGTCAGGGCTGCAGGGAAAAAGAAGAGGCAGACACAGGTGTCCCCAGTGGTCCTCGGATGGGTGTGAGTGTCTGCCTTCTGCTCCCCTGAGAACACTGACGGTGTCTGCAGACATCTTCTCACACAGCTGCCCCGGGGACACACAGAAGGAGGTGGGTGGCTGTGGCATGTGTGTGATGGAGAGATGGGGCAGGCTTGGGTCCACCCTTGGAGAAGACCGTGACATGTGAGATAAACACTGTTGAGGCACTGAGCAAAGTCTGGAAGCACAGGGCACCGACACACACTCACAGCAGGGTGGCACTAAACATCACCTGCTTCATCCTGGGCCGTCCATCCGGGAGCCTAAGGAAGATGTGAGCAGAGAAGGGAGGGTCCCCCTGTGTCACGGGGGACTCACGGGGTGACAAGAGGCCTTGGAAGCTGATCCAGTATGGGGGAGGGTGTCCGTGGTCCCCCAGACCACCCTCGGACTCAGCGATTTTGTAGCAGGACTCAGAACTCAGAAGACCCATGGTGCTGTGGTGTCCTGTGGTTCTTTACGGTGCAGAATGCAGAGGAAAATCAGCAGAGGGAATGCTCACCGACTGGAGTGTGGAGGGGACAGGGCAAACCCCAGCTGTCCTCTCCCAGTTGGGTCTTGTGTGACAGCACCGACAGAGTATTTTCAACGAGGAGGGCTCCCCTGAGCCTTCGTATCCAGCGTTTTTATTGGCATCTGTCCAGCAGGCTGGGAATCCTCACCTGGCTGACCCCACTCACCCCTCCCCAGTCTCTCCAGGGCCAGGCATTTGCCCCAAATCACATTGTTGGCCTGAACCGTCTGGCCTGGTGCAAGGCCAGCTCTACTAAGGTCCTCTCAGGCAGAGAATTCCAAGGCTCCTGGGTTGTCCCCAGGAAACCACTCAAGGGAGAGTYCTTGATTTGGAAGATGCAGGAACCCAGCACCTTCAGAGTTAGCCTTCCRAGGCAGGGGGTGAGGAAGAGGCGGGAGGAGAGAGCCCTGTGGGCGGGTCTGCTCTTGTGACCGGGTGGACCAGGGAGCTCCCTGGGGATGGGGAGTCCAGGGTAGCAGCAGGTTCGAGGGAAGACGGAGCTCGCTGAGGACACAGTATGGTCTYATTTGTTTTCTCCTCACACTGTGGGTGGGTGGGTGGGGCTTCCGCCCCAGGAGGATGGCTGGCCACCTGGGATGGACAATAACACCTTCCTCACAGGTCTTCGCAGCCCAGGGAGGGGGATGCACACACTGTGCAGGATCACTCGGGGACTGCACTCAGAGTCAGACAGCAAGAGGGACKGTGGGAGTCAGGCTGTGCAGGAAAGAGGGGGTGGGGGAGCTCTGGTTCCCACAGCAGGTTGGGATTCCACAATCTCGGGGCTGGCAAACCCACTGCGGCTTAACCAGCTGGAAGGGAAGGTGGCCTGGGGGGGCCTTTGTCRTCTGGTGCAGGGCAGATCTGGCAAGAGCTTGAGATCTGTGGTCCTTTAAGGCCTCCTGTTACACGCACCACGTCAGGGACCCGTGACGCCTGCCTGAGACAGCTCCCCTACCCGATGTGTCTGATTGTCCCCAGGTCCCCCCTCCACCAAGACTCCTAGAAATGAAGCTACAATTGTAACCCRCGAGGAAGCCCGTCACGCTGCGGAAGAGCTGCATTATTTTTTTGTTGAAACAAAAGAAATCTGGGTATGGAAAGGACGTGAAGCATGGGGTGTGGAAGCATGGGGTGTGGGGTGCTCTTGGAAGGACCTTAAGTTGGAGCAGGCAGAATTTGTTGGTAGGAGCTGATTGAGAAGAGAGTCTGCGTTTCGTCTTGCAGCTCTGGGGGTGGAAGGGCTCTAATAGTTTGGTTGGTGGAAACAGGGACCAAAAGGTGACCTGTACTAAAGAAGACTGAGATGCTGGTCTTGCCTTGAGATACCCCAGAGGAAGGGACCTAAGTGCTCTGGAGATTGGCGTGTGAGGGCGGGTTTGCTATCTAAGACCTGCCCACTGCCCTGAGCCTCAGGGCCTCCCAAGTCCCGGAGCCATCAGAGCTGCCCAGGAGGACTCTGCACATGGTGGTTTGTCCCCCTGGTGAGGACCCTGACCTTGGGAATCTGTAAGGGAGGGGCTGCCAGCCAACCTGCCCAACTTGTCCTGAGGGAGATACTATCTTTATTGTCTTGAGAGCCAAACTGAACTGCTCCAAGGGGCCTATTGTATTTACTGTCCTGGACATGAAGCACAGCACTTCTGGGGACACATGATTCTTATCCAGGACAGCAAACAAAGCTGCTTTGGCAGAGATGACTGTGTGAGACTGCTGGCTGGCCAAATGTTTTGGACAGCCGTCTCCAGCCCTGTTGATGCCTGTGCTCTGAGACACAGAACTGTCCCCMACACATTCAGCTCGTGTCCTCCTCCCTTCTCGGCAGGAGAACCTTGTCCACCTTCCCGACCTCCTCATCCACTACATGTGTGTTCCCCCAGCTTCCCCAGTGTTCTGGGCCCCGGGGGTGACCGTGGCAGGGGCAGGTGGCCGCCTGATTTGCATGTGAAACCCTGCCCCACTGGTGGTACGTGGTGCCTTGGCCTTCAGGGGCCATTTCCATGTTTCTCCATGGAGGCTCATGGTGCCGGAGGGAGTGGGGGGCCGAGGGGTCCCATGCCGGGCAGAGGAAGCAGAGGACAGGGAGAGGGCATCAGAGAGGGCAGAGGGGCTGTGGGGAGGCCCTGCTTTTCTTCCGATGAGCTCACTGGTGGCTGGTGCTGGGCAGGAGCAGTCGGGTTCTGACTCCGTGTCACCAGCTCCTTCCGGTGTCTGCGTGGAGATCAGAGTGCAGGGAGGGCTCGGTGCCAGGGAGGGAGTGCGATGGGGGCCGATCTGGGTGGAGGCCCCTGGTCCCGTCCCCACTGCAGCCCTCTCCCACCTTCCTGACAGGCTCCTGGCCTCAGCCTCTCAGCCTCTCAGCCTCTACTGCATCCCCCATGYGGCCCCTGCTCACAGCCCCCCGTGGCTCCCCAGTGCCTCCTGTGAGGTGATCCCTGGAGAGGGGAAGGTCTGCTCCTTCCCTGTCTTTGGGGACTATCCTTCTGGACCCTGCCTCCCTGTGCAGGAGCGACTCTGAGGTCCTTCCCCATTTGCCAGGACTCCGCCCACTGTCCTTCTGCTAGAATTCCTGCCTGCCTTCGGGAGTGGGTTGGGGGGCGGTGCTTACAGGCAGAAACTCACCTTCGGGCTCTCTCACTCTCTCTTCCCCTCCCAGGGTGACTCTGGGGCCTCTGGTCCAGGCTTACACTCCCCACCCCCAGGCAGCTCRGCCTGGTCCCCTCTCTGCTTGTGGCTGCAGCCCACTGGGTCTCCCTCCCACCTCATGCCCAGCTGGCCAGGTGCAGCCCCAGGGCCCAGCTCTCACTGGGAACTCCGAAGGATCTGGGAAAGCAAATAAGTTGTCCTGCCATGGTTTCTTGGACACTAGCAGAGCACGCCAGCCCCTGGTCCAGGGCCCTTGCACTCAGGGCCTGCAGACACTGGGAGCCGCCTGTTCTTCATCTCTCAGGGAAGGGGCTGCCAGGGAAGGGCTGCCGGCCAACCTGCCGAGTGTGTGGCCCACGGGCAGCTCCTATCTTGTTATCCTGAGCACACACAGACCTGGTCTAGAGCAGCGTATTGTATTTATTGTACTGAACAATAAACATGCCTGCTGTGAGAAGCACATTCTCCTGGATTGCTCTGAGGCAATACTGCTTGCAAGAGTGCTGGCCCAGCATCCCGGACACAGTCCAGAGGACACTCGTTCGTTCTTTCTCTGAAGCCACATAGAATTGTGAGAGACCCATGGGGGTTTCTCTGCCCACATCACTCAGCTCGCACCCCACCTTCCGTGCAGGACACCCTCACACCGGGCCCTCAAGCTCCGCGTGCCTCCAGCCTCAYCAGGCTCCAGGCCCCTTCCCAGTGGTGGCAGGAAGAACGTGGGGACTGGGTCTGCAGGTGSGAGTCCTGCCCCACTGGTGGTGTTGACCTTGGAGGACGTATCCATGCAGCACAGTGTGGGGGGTCATGACCCTTCAATCTTGAAAAGCCCCTCTTTGGTGTATGTGCATTTGATTCYSTGTGTGTGTGTGTACACATGTGTGCATGCACATCCCATCCACGTGCATGGACCATACCCCCATAGGGGAAACCTGACGAGTGACCTTCGACATCGAGTACTGACTGAGGGCCTGACCTGGCGATGGATGAGTGCTTCCTKTCCCTGCGCCCTGTGCCTCCAGGGTGTGCCTTTCACCGTCAGTGTCCAGCTCTGCTCCTGGAGGTTCCTGGGCTCTGGCCTGGTAGGTCCTATCTGAATGTCTGGTCTCTGGGGCCTGGGTCTGTGGTTCTGAGTCACCACTCCCTAAGGGGCTGTGTGGATGAAGGTCATTATTAACCTTGACCCTCTTCACCTGGTTCAGTGCATGTGTCTGACCTTTGGCCTTATTGATTTCCACAATGTGAATATAATACATATGTCCCTTAAATAATGAAGCACCTTTGATTAAAACAACTAATGTTTATGAAGCAGTTACGATATGGCAGGCATTATCACACCCATCCAGATGTGTAAACACACACACACACACACACACACACAGAGTTTCCCATGTAACCCTTGAGAGCCCCCACATAACGGAGGAGGAGATGGAAGCTTACTATAGTCAAGTGAGTTTCCCGAGGACTCAGAGCTGGTATGTGTGAACCCAGGCGGGTGGCCTCTGGGTGTGGCCACTGTACCACAGACCCATGACTGCCTCCGTCTCGGGGGCCTGAGGGCACCTTGGCGTCTCTTCCTCTGCACCTTAGTAAGACCTTCCCTT